AGGAAGAATGAAAATATTATGTTAGTAAAAGCCTTTCTTGCTCATTTGACTTGAAAAAATTCGTTTCTATTAAAAAAAAAGGAATTAATATTTATGTCTGAAATTATATTAACTTTCGAAACAACAGCTAAAGATGGGAACCTAACAGTCAGTTTTGTTTTAATATTCTATGTTCTTTCAAGTCGTGTGCAGTTATCTCCAAAATATCCTGTCTTTTATTGCTCTAAATATCTTTTGACCGTTCTTTCCATGCTATGTCTTTGTTTTGGCATCAATTCACTCAAACTTGTTGAGTAGCTTACTCGCTGTTTTCCCCTGCTTCTATTGCCTTCAGTTTGTTATGTGAATGTTGAATTCTCAACATCCAATCAGAGATTTATGGGAGAAGAGTGCTCAGTATCAAAGATTGGACGTTTGTAGATATGGACGTTTGTAGATATTAGACATAGGAATCAACATTACATAGTTGTTGTAGAGTAGTTTCCACAGTGGAGGCTTGTATTTCAATAAGTCGTCCTAAATTAGGTTCGACGTACAAAACGTTATGAACTTGAAATAAGAGTTAATGACGCAGCAATCTAGTTGTGATGATTGGTACTTCAATGTCCGATATCGACTGACTCGCTCAACACCACTGAGCCCAACTGGCGACTGCTACTACTACTTATTATCTGTGGGAGAGTCTATTACAATAGAATAGATATTATGGTATAACAATAGTGATGGTCAGTTTTACGCTTTAAACAATCTACAGACCAAGACTTGGTATGAAAAATATGTGACTGTTTATGAAAGCATGGAATATTCTGAAGCCCCTAGAGTACCACGTCCCCGAGCACCACCACTGACGACCTGAACTTGCACCCCTAAGTTGGCTATCTTCGAGATGTTGTGATGAGTAACTAGTGTCTTCGCATATCCCGTATCAAGTTAGAATAAATAGCTGGATATATAAATAATGCCTTGTCAATGACTTCACTGTGATACCGATTCAACCACAAATGACGAAAATACATCGACATACCGCATTTGGTAGCATATGACCGCTGGTTTTTGTGATTAAAATATCTTCAGAGTTTTAGACGAAAGACAGAGTATCTGGTAGGGGAATGTTTACCCAGGCACCAAAGATTACCAGTAATTATACTTAACCATAATACTTTGAGATTAAACTTAAAAAGTAGAAGAGGCATCGAAAGCAGCTGATCGAAGAAAAATGTAAGAACATAAAAATAAGTCTTTCTAATTTGCCTTTGATTTGTCTCAATAATCATAAATTTCCTGCTAGCGCAAGAAATCGGTGTTTGAGCCAAATTAAAATGCCAGGATTTGTAATGCTGATTTAGGCAAGTATATCCTCTTTATTTGGAAGATTGTATTACAACAATCTTCCGAACCCACACTAGGTGCTGTGTCGTACTAAGTTAAGATTAGTAAATTCTAGGTCCTTCCAGAAAGCCGTCAGCCATTTTGAATATCTTGAGAACTAAGTGCGCAACTATGATATAACTTGACAACCAATCAAAAAGGATTCTTACCGCGCATGAGTGAACATTTCCGAATGGAGTCAGTTGTGGATTATTTTCCACCCTGCAACGACGATCGCTATTTCCGTATCAAATGTTCAGACAAGCTACATTCGTTAGTTTCAACAGTACATACCATAACTGCTAGGACTCAGCATACCACGTATTCAGAGACAACTCAAATCTCTCTTTGAATTCCAATAGTAAGGAGGAAGTTCCACTCAGTTCTAGTCCAAGAAATGTTACTCTATGAAACAGACTCTCGAGAGCATGCTTAGCCAGTCACTACAATCTTAACCTCTTGGAATCTAGGCTCAACCGTTATCTAGCCGACATATCTTCATAATACACATTTCTTAATTTCTCTCTTTACGCCCTTGCCTTATTCAGTAACTCGCTACTTTGAGTGGCTCTTGGGCCTTGCATTGTGTGCACAATACTATAAAAATAAAAAATAATAATATGCATATTCACTTATACCTTGTATGCATTTTAATATAACACGCCTCATTTAGTAACCATCTACCTTGAGTGGCTCTTGGGCCTTGTAATGAGTGAACGATAGTATTAAAAACGACAGAATATTTGGGGGTCAATCTCTTCTTGGCCAGGCCCCCAAATTTACAATGCTTTCTTTTTACAGTAACTATTTCATTTTTCAAGACATAAAACGAATATCTTGACGAAATGATTTAAGGCCACTCATCAACTAATAAAAAGGTCTTAAATTATTTTATTTTCAAAAGTAAGCGCTTGATTAAGCGGAAGATCTGTTAAATGCCTTTTGGCTTTGGCTTGCAGCAGAGGCAAGCAGATGCATGAGAAATACGAAACCTTCTTCCGGCAAAAGAGACATGCTATCTTTCGACGCTTTATTTAAAGGATACGTCATTTCAATCCAACAGACATGTCTGAATCAACTACCAATTTTTGTTTCAAGGTCTCACACGAAAAGCAAACTCTCACTTCCGGTAAATGCTTTGGAAAATCACCGGTGAAAGATCAATATGACAACCAGTACGTTACTATTTGCGTCTATTTGCAACCAAAGTACTGATGAGAAGGAGGCTATGCTGATGACATAGGTATTCATAGTTGGGATACGAATGATCTTGAACAAAAAATCAATACCACCCCGCTATCGTAGGGGTTCTAACCCAGGGGTGGATTCCTTCCGGGGGGTTCCTTCCCGGGGGGTCCTTCGGGGTGGGGATTCCTTCCGGGCGGGATTTCAGGGTTTCAGCGAGGAGTGGAAAATCTTTTACTTTTTTCACAAGTAATTGACTCTAATATTTATCAGAATAAAAGACACTGATCTTGTATTGAAATTTTTGTTTATTGGATTACAATACCCTGACAATTGTATTGAACTTTTTGTTTATTGAAGTATGCTTCAGATTATTTATTTGATAATTATTTAAATTAAAGCAAATTGTTGTACATGTATTCAAGTTTAAAAATCCTTCAACATTTTCTATTGCTAATAAATTTGTAAAACTCCTCTATAAGAATCATGCATATAAACATATATGCAGTAATAGTGAAGAGAATGAAGATTTTCAATAATATATGCATTTTATTTGGAAAGCACCTCTTAAGTCGAACAATCTTGGAAAATAGGGCGGATGACATTCTGAGAAGGATGCGTTGGGAAAAAAAAGAAGCTGAGAAACAGAACTCGAGATAACCTTTCCAAAGCAGAAATTAGGATCTGGAGTTGTAATGAAAGCTGTGGTAACACCTACACTGAATCTATCATAAAAATGTAGAATATGGAATTAGTAAATACTAAACACTTCAAATACGTCTATGTTGGGATCAGTTATAATAAATTTAGTATAGAAAATAGGGAAATTGAACACTGATAAGGAAATTTAATAGTAGCAATTTACGATGTAGTGCAAAATTAGTTTTGCTCAACATTGCAAATTGTTACAAAACTAAAACAGTAATCTAAAAACTTGAGTCATCCTTTGAGAACTACGAACAGCATCAACAATTAAAATGGACAGCACAAATAACTACAAGAGAATATAATGACATAATCAAGATTCTGACATTACACACTACTTCAAACAAAAGATTAGGAAGGAAAACCCAATCAATACTGGAAAGAGCGTAACAGACTTGAGAAACGTTTCTCCCTGAAAAATTGTCTTAAGATAAAGATTTTTATAAGTTTCAACTGACAGCAGACTGGCTGCACAATCAATGAACGCTGAATATTTCCTTATAAGGAAACGGTTAATATTAGCATTAGCATGGGAGATATGGTAAACAGATATCCCTACATGCAAGCCACTAATCTGCTACAGGGTGGCATGCCACGAGTGTTTACAACTGGTGGCCAGCTGTCGGACCGCCGGTGTGTTTCTCTCGGCAATGTTACCACTGGTGGATCGCTAGAAGCTCACCGGTGGCTGCTACCAGAGGACCGCTGGCGTTGCCATCGGCGGCCCGCCAGCGGACCACTAGCGTGGAATATATTACACTATGATCCCAGGTTGATGACCAAGCAGTGAAGAAACGCATAATTTGAGGGGCACTGGCTGCTCGGTTATCTATCTATCTATCTATCTATCTATCTATCTATCTATCTATCTATCTATCTATCTATCTATCTAAGTTCTATCTATTTCATTATCTATCTGTTGTAGGCTTAACACTAACAGCGTAACGCAAGGCCAGAAATGTAGGACACCCAACGAGCATTGAAATCACTTCACCTGTAATGAATTGCAAGACGTGCTTGCCAAATAGCTGCACCAACTCTATCTATCTATCTATCTATCTATCTATAAGGAAGTAATGTTATCGTTACTTAGCATTAGCGTTGTTACGCTTTGTTTGGCAATCTAGACAATCGTTGATTATTTTGAAGAAAAAACAAAACAAAAACAAAAAAAATACATGTCATTCTATCTCATGCTGTTACAGATACAGATATAGAATGGTGATGGAATATTTATCTGGCAAAAACTAATTAAAATCTTATGCAACAAAGATTTGTTCTCCTCTGTTCTCATAAAAGAATCAGGAAATAATTCTTTAAGACACCTAGGATCCTTTTCTCGGTAGTTTCACCATTTTAACGTTAAAAAAGCGGTGTATATTTATATCAGCATTTCGTCGTGATCCTTTTTAGATCTTACCAGATATAAATGCCGGTAAATCATTTGGTAAAAGTAGGCGCTAATATTACCATAAAGGATATTTTGCCAACAGAAGCAGCAAGAAAAAATGCCGGCTTTTGTTAGCTAAGGTTCAGCATAGGCTTATGTGTCGACCAAGCGTAGCTTCGAATCTTCGATCGAATTGAATATGGTGTGTTGATAATTCTTAATTTTATGTATATGTGCGTGTGTAGGAAATCGATTTGGCTGAAATTGCTGCCATCGATCTTTATAAATGATCGATTGGAAGAGAAACTCTGCTATGAAGCCAAATCAACACTGGAAATATATTGCGTCATTTTTATCTGGGGGAGAAAATGTATTTGGGTGAAAAACAGAAAGAGAGAGTGGGTGAGAGAGATAGAGATAGATAGATAGATAGATAGATAGATAGATAGATAGATAGATAGAAAGAGAGAGAGAGAGAGAGAGAGAGAGCGGAGTAAACAAGAAATAAAGATAGGAAGACCAACATAGAATTAAACGGGAAGAAATGCAAAACTTGAAAGAAATATGTGAAGAGTTAGAGAAAAGGAAGTACGAGGGATATCTACAAAGAACGAAAGAAAGAAAGAAAGAAAGAAAGAAAGAAAGAAAGAAAGAAAGGTTTTAAACATAAAGTGTTAATAACTGAAAGACCAATAAAGAAAAGAAAGAGGACGAGAAAAAGACTAGTAAAACTTGAGAACAAAAATGGAAAAGGAAGATAAAGAAACGAAAGAAGACGAAACGTAACTGAAAGATGAATTAAATGAAGAAATAAAAAGAAAGAAAGAAGAGGGCATAAATTTTTTAAAGTAATTGAATGAAGAAGTATCAATCAAGAAAGAATAAAAGGGGAGAGAGAGAGGAGTGAATGAGACGTGTGATAAAATGGAAAAGAAAGAAAGAAAGAAAGAAGGAAAGAGTATAGCTTAAACTAAAAAAGTAATTTGATGAAGATCAGTAAAGAAAGAAGAGAAGGAGAGAGAGAGGAGTGAGTGAGACCTGTGATAAAACGGAAAAGAAAGAAAGAAAGAAAGAAAGAAAGAAAGAAAGAAAGAAAGAAAGAGTAGAGCTAAAACTTAAAAAGTGATTGGATGAAGAAAGATCAGTAAAGAAAAAAGAAAAGGAGAGAAAAATAGAGAGAGGAATGAGTGAGACGTGATAAAATGGAAAAGAAAGAAAGAGTAGAGCTTAAAAAGTGATTGAATGAAGAAAGATCAGAGAGAGTGAATGAGAGGTGACAGTTTTATTGCAGTGGTAATACAGACGGAGTGTTTACATATTCAAGCTGCAAATAATAAACATTGCGTTATAAAGCGTATCAATTTCTTCTGCAGCCGTCTATCACCGCGACGACAATGACTACGCAAAGTCTGTGCGCATTCTATGAAATTTCTCAACCTCATCTCTCAACAAGGTGGACATAGTGAGTGTAAAAGTGAAAGCTGAAAGAGGTGGAAATAGAGCAAGGGACGGGGGAGAAGGAGATACAAAGAGCGGAGATGAAAAGTGAAGAGGTTGAGCGAAAGAATGGGGCGAGAAAGGGATGTGGGGCGGAGTTGAGAAGGCTTTTAAAATTTCGCTGGCGTCAGCGATTTGCGGAAGTCAGTTGCACCGCTGTCAATTAATCGGAAGGAATGCGTGTTATATGATGAGATAGGAGAAGACAAGAATAAGAGGATTCGACTAGAGATAGATAGATAGATAGATAGATAGATAGATAGATAGATAGATAGATAGATAGATAGATAGAGTTGGTGCAGCTATTTGGCAAGCACGTCTTGCAATTCAT